GTGCTACACAGTAAACTGCAGGAGCTGTTTTAGTACTTTTGAAACCTGGCAGAAAAAAAAACTGTTCAAATATGCTGTTTATTTACCATGATATTGTGCTCTGTAGAACCGCTATGCAGGGTAGACAGCATATTTAATGGGATGCTATTGAACACAAGGCTGTGAGGACAGACATACAGTCGGTTTAACAGGTTCAGTGTCTCTTTGGATAAAAGCGCCTGATAAATGTGAATGAGGTACAGTCAGTTTAATAGTGTGTTCTGTCTAAGGTCAAGTGCAGTTTTCAGAGCGGATCTATCAGACTGTACGCCTTCGTTATCATTCAGATCAATCACGCGTGGTTTCGGCTCTGATCGAATGTTGTGTTATATCAGCAGGAAGAGCGTTCCTCCCTGACGATAGGATGCTTGCAGGGTTTGTGAATGTGTCAGATTTCCCCAGAGCTGGAGCTTGTGTCAGTGACGTCATTAATGAAACCGTGTGTCGCTGAATAGATGCCAAAGGGAAGTGAGTGTGATCTTAAGGTGGTGAATTCCAGTCTTTCTCATTTTAAATATCACTTTTGAAATCACTCTTCCCACATTTGTCATTTTAGCCCAGTTGTTAACAAGCACACAGTAACACAGGCAACATAAAGGATGAGTCAACCTGTTTGTTAGTACAGATTAACCACAGCTCTCCAACAGAGGACATCAGAGCATGTGTAACACATTATCAGTCATTGAACGATCATTTATAATCAAAGTGATTGATTCAGATCCTGTTTGTTTGGAAATGTTTCCAGGCACTGTATCAGAACATGGTTTTCTTCAGCAGTGTGTCATGCATTCATGCCTTCTGTCGAATCGTCCATCAGTGACACAACAGAAGATCTCATGGTCAAGTCAAGTCACCTTTATTTATATAGCGCTTTTAACAATACAGATTGTGTCAAAGCAACTGTACAGTATTAAATAGTAAAATAGTGTGCCAATAATGCAAAATGACAAAAGTAAACACTCAATATTCAGTTAAAGGCAGTTCATCATTGAATTCAGTGATGTCATCATCCAGCTCAGTTCAGTTTAAATAGTATCTTTGCAATCAAGTCGACGATATCGCTGGATATTAAGTGTCCCTAAC